ATTACCTGTGAAGAGAAACTGATACAAATTCATCACGTATACTCCAAGTAGTTTGATGCCGCAATTAGCCTTTCCTGAAGCAGTATTCTAGGTTATTTCTGTTCTTGGAAGAAATATGGCACATAACAAAACTTCAAATCAGCGGGCACAATACATCAATTACATTTCCAGAAACCAACTGTTATGTATCCATATCTTATTTCTTTGCACCGTGTGCAGTAAATTTGCCAGTACTTTGTCATCTCTAATTTTATAGAATTTATTAATACTTCTAACAAAAAAACTCTGTAGCAAACCAGAAGTTTCACGTTAGAATAGAACCCTAGAAGTTTCAGAATTAATACTTAATTTAGATAAGCAACCAGAGCTTCAAATGCTGATCCAAAGTTTGTCTGAACTATTTTGAACTTGATTTCTAAGTCCAAAGGGTTTATTTTTGGAAGATTTACTCCAAAGCTCTTTCTATGGACTTCTCAAAAATTGCTGTGACAATAGCCTCTCTCCAGTGACTGAGCAGTTCTAGAACCTGTTTCTTCCATGAGCTAATGAAATTAACAACAATATTAAGCATTGCAAAGGAACATTTCTTTGAGATGCCTGAGAAAATGGCTGCTTTCAGAGTGGCAAATTTTTGTTTTCTTGTATCATTACAGTCTGGAATATAAAACACAGGAGATAAAAATGTATTTCATTACTGCAATGAATGACAGATTTTCAGTAAACTGTGTTTAACTGCAAGTGTAAAGGCATGCAAATGTATATACCTTGTCCAAACTAAAAAAACAATTGAACAGGTAACCAGGTAACTAACAATTTTGAACAAGTAATTGTTCATTTGAGTATGTTAATTCAATTCTTTATGTTCTGACATTCAGATATTAAACTTCATTCTATCAAAGCAAGCCAAACACATGAGAGGAATGTTTCCTGCATTTACTCTGGATCAAATCAGAACATACTACTTATATATTTGTGTATATTCAGTAAAAAATCTGTTTATCTTTTAACAGATATTTTTTTTTCCCTCTCAATCTTCTTCTACTATCTTTCTAAGCTAGTCTGTGGATTGAATTATGGTTTTAAATATTAACTAGAACTTCCCAAGCCTTATTAAAAAGCCTGTTAATAGTAATTCTATCTTTTCATGTGCAGAATGCTTTTCAACCTTCCATCTCCTCCTTTCCTTAAATGCAAGGATATTACAATCACCTGTGAATTAAGTCCAATGCTACTTTCTGTTCTATATGGTGTTTTTGTTGGTGTGTCACATCCCCCCCCCCCCCCCCCCCATCATGAGTCACTTTGCATTTTATTAAAAATAATAGGTGATATAACATTATCCTACAGGAGAGAGAAATGAATAGTCACAATTGGTTCTTTAGCTGTTTTCTCCCCATTTTTATGGAACAATCTCTAGGCATAAAAATCTAAGATGGGGGGCGGGGCAAGAACAATGAAATATAGGGAACAAGTCGAAATTTCTTTTGTTTTAAATTTCATGGATTTTTACTCAAACTATTCAGAGTCAAACTTCACAATGATGACTCTCTACTCCTTTACTGATTCATCATGTAAATGCAATTTTTAAAACAAAGCTAAGACAGCTCTTTTACAAAACACTGAGTAATACAGGTTGTAACACCACAGCTGTGATTTTGTTCGGGGAGCAGTGAGAACTTATTGTGAAACTATATGTCTCAACCCACCTTTTTATGCTGATGTTGAATGAGGTAGTTTTTTTGTGTTGCAAAAAACTTAAATTAATGCGTTAGAGTTCTGGTGCATTTGTGTACCTACTTAATATCACCCAGTAGGGATTTCCCTGGCTATCCCTAAGCTGGATGAGATGAGCAGCTTGGAGAAAGCATAAAATCTGCAAGATGCTTTACAAGGTAATGGCCATTTTTTCCCTTTTTAAAATCAGTGTATAATAATTAAATATTCTCCTTTTGTTGACATTCTCTTAATAATCGGTACTGTTCTGGTATTGTTCTCTAAAAGCATTATTGCATTATACCTGTGAACAGACACATGAGCTGTTGGGTTGCTCCAAGCATTACAGCTTGCTCATTAGTTCCAAAGATTACTCCAATCATTGGAAATTCAGAATGTACAATTCTCAAGCGAAGTGACTATTTTAAAATCTAAAATTTATTTAACCCAGGAAAGCATACAGGACAGTCTAGTTGGTGTAGCCATATATAGTTAATCCATTTATGCTTCTGCTACTCCGAACCATTAATAACCATCAACTTCATGTGGTGAATAAACTGAACTGATTATCAGTCAACACAAAACCAGGAAAGCTTGATTACTGTGGGATCTTTCAATTAGACCTAATGTCATCAACTTCTTACAACTAAAGTCAAGCGCTTCCTATTTCTGAGACTTAGGAAGTCTTTCTGAGAAAGCAAAGGAAAAGAAGGTCCTGGTATCAACCATCTGAACCCTGGTGACTTGAGGGAGCAAAGAATGCTGTAACAGCTGTACCTGTTTGCAAAAAGTATCTTCAGTGTCAGTACCTCCATCATGACTAAAACATTTACTGAAATGGAGCTAGTGCTGGTCAAAGATGCTAAACTTTAAGTCCTTAAGCCCTCAAACCTGTATTCATCTGCAGTGCAAGCGCAACAGATACACACTCTCTCACCCCAACTTCAGTTTGAAGACAGCAAATCTAAAGATAAGAGGGGAGGTCATGGTCTGTTGCCACAATTAAAAGCAGTTTAAAATATGTTAATGAGGAACAGGTTTTCAGAAGAATTTAGTACCAGCAAGAACAGAATGATGTCTCCTCAAAGGCCCTAAGATCTTAGCTGTCATGGAAGTACCTGAAGTTCAGTATCTTTCTATGATCCCCCAAGGTGCCACCTCAGGTTTGGGTGCCCAAATACATTTAGTAATTAATCTCCATGTTCCTTTTCCCATATTCTGGCCTCTATGAACACATATTTATACGCAACTCTAATTGACACTGAGCATTAATCAGACAGTGGTGTGTTTTAGGCCTTAACTGCACTGTTTGAACTGCTGACCCTAAAAGAAAAGGTTTTATATACCATTCCCAATCCCTTAAGTCTTCCTGTCACTGCAAAGCAAATACTTGACTTTTATGGATGGATTCAGTTTCAAGTAGTTTTTCTAATGTTTTGTTAAAATTACAAAAGTGGCTTTCAGGGAAAGTTTGTAAATAGAGACACATTTTTCATTACAGTTTATTACCAACAATAGACAGGCTTTTGTAAAATAGTGTATGACTAGAGATAAGTGATAAATGCACATCGGAATATTGTCTGTAGAAGCGTCCTGTGAATTTAGAGACAAATAATACCAGAAACAACAGTAGATCATATCTTTTCCCTTTTGCCAAACGTTTTACAGTTATTGGTAAAGACTTCTTTAACCAAGTGGTACGAGGTCTCTCCTTCAGGTCTACAGACTCCATCCCATTTTACAGTGCACACAGCTTAGCAGTTGCTGCAGCCATGTAACTCTCAACCTTCCTTGAAGCAACTGCTTGTTTTGCTCTTTTCTGTGTTCATGTCCTGTCTTAGTTTCTTAAAAATAATTTTAATCTCTATTTTCAAATAATAATTATAGGACTTTGAAGTTACATTATAAAAATTAATCCTGCTAACAATATGAAACGTACACATTAATATTAACAACTATGCTTAGTAAAAAAGAAAATGAGATGCTAAAGTAGAGCAGCTGAGCATACGGTTGTAATAGTCAATTAGTTCTCAAATATGATGTTAACTTGGTTAATTTTTTTGTTTTAAACTTGAACTGTTTTCTACAGATGGGTAAGCTTAGCTTTTCTGGTACTGCCAGTCAGGTTTCTGTTTCTTAATTGTAACTCAGAGCCATACTTACTGCAAGATCAGTTGAACAGTTACCACATTAACTGTGTTTGCATGAACTACCAAAGGAAGACTGGTTTTGAGGGCTTCTGAAACATTTTGCAAAAGTTACATACAGCTTCCAGCCATATCAGTTGAGTGTTAATATTAACAAAGGGTTTACACAAGGAAGCAATGGCCAGCACCTCAGGATGCTGTATTGGTATACAGTACTTTAGATATGTGAATTTGCGCTTTAGTGAAACAGCTACTGAGGCACTACAGCCGATAGAAAAAAAAAAAACCCACACAATTAATAGAAAACAGATTCAATAAAACAGACAAAAAAAGCTGGATGATGTCAAATGAAAAGAGGCAGAGAGAGGAGTAAACAATTACAAATTGGTTATTAGCAAGAATAAGCAGCATAGCTGGGAAAGCCGGACTTCAAGATTAATTCTGTAGCGCCACAGCCAGCACATGTCCTCCCATGAAAGCCAATGGGAGTTTTATTGCCAGGGAAACTGTCCATTAAAGTTTTGTAATGATAATCTTCCTTACTCTGTGTAGACAGTGAAACTCTCTGGTTGCTTTAAAATTACAAAACATTGTTTGAAACTCAGCATACTTCTTTTTGCAGGAACATATGCTCATGGGGCTGAGCTGAAAACCAAAGAACTACTGCAAAATGTTTCCACTCCTTTTTTCCCTTTGAAAGTATTGTTGCACTTTTTCCCTGTTCTCTTTTTTCAATAAGGCTTCCAAACCTCTAGACACAATCTGTTTCCTAAGAGGACTAATGATACCTGATAGCAACAGCAAATCAAAAATAAAACCAAACCCATAGAAGATACTTATTCATTTAGCCTTGAACGACATATATAAAATATATAAAATTATATATATGTAAAATAAACTGAATATAAGGCACTTTCCAAATTCACAGCTCAGCCATTTTCAGACCTTAAAAAGAGCTCATGAAGCTCAGTTGTTGTATAGACACATTATTCTCGAACCAGTTTGAAGAAAAATCTGACAAGTTATTCAAACAAGGCTGAAAAAGACATTTTATCTTCAATCAATTAGTCATGGAATCATCTTCATAAGAAATTTGGGCAAAACATTAGGAAAAATCTCTGCAGTTTTTAAGTATCCTACCTTTCTTTTGCGCAGTTTCACTTGACTGTCTGAATATTCTTGTGTGGTCAAATGATCCCTTACATGTAAACACTGACTGTCTTCTGCTGAACTGACATTTGAAAGGCATTTGTTTTCAGGGGCCACTTGAGGCTCGGTGAAACCACTTTCATCCAGACCATTTTCCACTGCCGGGATGAGAGCGCAAGGGGAAAATTGCATAAGGCAGTCGCTGGATTCCACTGCTGAACATAGTTGTCTGTCACTGCTGGTGCATGATTCAGAAGAAATCCCACTCTCTACCACATTACACTCAGACTTTCCAAGCCCGTCTTTAAAAGCATCAGATTTCCGGCGCTGTTGTGCAATTACAGCAGTATGAAGCAGCTGCTTCCCAGGCATAATAATTTCTTTCACATTTGGAGAATTAGAAAGATTTTCTTTCTCTATATCTACTACTTCATTTAAGACTTCATAATTACAAGGCTCTAGGCTTTGGTCAATACTGCCACAAATATTGTCTTCTTCCATCTGCTCTTTGTGAACCGTGTCACAGCCAGGTTCCTTACTTATATCTCTCATTATTCCAGATGCTTCAGTTGCCTTGTTACTCTCCGTTATTGGTACCATCTGTGTTAAGGAGCCCGCTCCATTTAAATTCTTCTCTTCATCTTTTGGTTCCCTTCCTACAGCAGTGATGTGGTAATTAACACTATCCAGGCTGAGTGCTGAATAGTCATGATCGTCATCAGACACATGGACTAGAGTTTCTGTGCTGGCCTCCAGAAAATGCTCCTCATCCTCATGGTTATCGTTTTCATCCACCTCCTTTGAAACATTTCCCAGCTGCTTTGCAGGGAAGCCAATCAGCTCTCCACTATAACAGCACTCTGGAAACGAAGCGCATTTTTCTTTCCGGTCCACGCTCAAAACCTCATCCTTTTCCATACTTGTCTGCAAGTTATCAGCTACAAGTCCATGACGACATGCTGTATTATACTCCACAGACTCCAAAGCCAATCCCATCCACTGGGTCACATGCTCTTCCCAGCTTTTCTTTCTGATTGCTAGAGACATGTCATAACAGTTCAGCAGCAGGCTGCAACATACCTTCCACGGAGGATGAGAGGCGATGTCATGGCTGCTGTGCACTGCTCCGGAGGGAGAGAGGGTTTCATCATTTTAACATCTGCAAGAAATAAAAAAAGACTGGGTTATTGAATCAACTCCAACTAAAAAAAGAAGAAAGGGAAGGAACAGTTTAAACAAAAGTGTAAAAGCAAGATAAGACTGACGGATCAGAAGGACAGGAATTTAGAAGATCATTTTGTTTAAAGTTTTAATACTTTTCATACAAAATTTGACAGCACCCATAATTCAGTATAACTTTTTCCCTGATTACTCTCCAATATCAAGTAAACAAAAATGGTATGAAGAGGCATATGGACAGGCAAGTAGCTCCAGAACCAAATTTTGACAATAAGTCTCTCTTCACTGTGTCTGTCATAAGATATTAATTTCCATGGGTATAAATGGCATTCTGTCTTATGATTGCTTTGCACACAAAGTTATTTTGTATTTCCTCCTCAGCCAGAGATACTTGTGGAGTGCAAAATTTTGGCTGTTTCCCGTAAGAGGTAGAGCAGAACTTGAGGGTTATTCTGAATTTACCAAAGTTATAAACCACTTGTCTTCTGAGTAGCTTTGGCCCATTCAGTGGCTTTCATTTTTATTATTATTATTTCACTCTCTTCAGGACAAGTTGTAATTACAAGTATTACACGAAACTGCAGGGGAAATCAGCTGTTGTGTGGTAAAAAAAATACTACCCTAGGAAAACTAATTTAAGTTTTTGGCGTATTCCTTACCTTAAATACATTATAAAACCTGAAAAAAACCCTCGGCGAATATATTTGGGATCTACTATTGTAAGGAAAGGAGGAAACCCTTCTTTAGGATGGGGCTCTCCAGAAGGCTAGCTTGTGAGCCAGTGTGGTCAGCCCTAACTGTGCCTCTCACCTGGACTGTCAGGCTCTGCCACAACCCACCGTCCCCGCTTGAATATCTAGGTGTGTATTTTTCTCTGACTACTGTATCAGGCTTTCTGGATGATGGCATTTGAGATACATTAATCATGTGACATTGCATGTATGAATTAGCACAAAGAAAATACTGCATATTAATTTATGCATTATGAAACAAAATTAACAAGTTCTTTGTCAAATAACAAAAGAAAACTTCTGGCCTGTAAAACATTAGAGATTCAAGGAGCAGACGCTTCTACTTTTCACTCCCTACATAAGAACTGTCAGCACTTAGCATGGATCTGCTTATTGATTTCAGCAATAAAGAAGATTAAATACTGAGTTTGTTCTGGGTCATTTCAGTCCACTAAGGCAAATTCTGATTGCCCACCAGGCCACAAAGCTGCCTTGACAAATCACATGCCTGAAGGTATAAAAGTATTCATCTTGAAAGAAATGCAGAATTATGCCTGTGCAACTGAACCTCTGTGAATTATGTCTTGACAAACTGACTTTCAGGATAGAGTTGTACACGCTCCTAGATCTTTAACCTTCTTTGAGGATGGCAAGCTTCATTTCACATTCACATTTTCCACCTCTGTGGAGACTATGCTTAAAAAGAAAATTTATTCATAGGGTAAGAGAATTCCATGCACAAGTCATTAGCGTGTGGGAGGCTGAGGAAAATGGAAAATAACACACAAAGTTAGGCCAAAAAAATTTATCTGCTTTCAGAGGCAAAATTTGGTAGTAAGAAGTTAGTACCACTTTAAGATTCTCTTTTCTTTCCTGATTGAATATGAGAGCAAGCCTAAATATTAAAATGTAAAGTCAAATTACTGTATAAATTTTCAGTGCATTTACATTCCTATTCTGACTTCATTTCATATTGTTATTCTCGTACTATTTCTAAGTGTCTGCAGTCCAAAATTATCACAGGGTGCAAATCAATAATGATAATACTTTTGACTTCTGCTGCACCTTTTCCTGATGGACCCTAAAGCTCTTCAAAAGCAATTAAATTAGTTTTACAACACTACTGTGTTTTGTTTTGGCCTTTGAAAAGGGGCAGGTTTACTAAAAGGGGCTCTATGATTTCTGCTGCCCTCCATTAACAGTGCTTGGAGTTGCACCTGGGTGCAATTCATTTGTAGCTTCCCTCTCTCTTCCCCTACTAGAGCAGTAGCTCCATCTACTTTAAAGAAAATTAAACATGGTTGCTACAGCCATATAAGGGAATTTCTGACAAAAATCAAGACAATATACCAGTAATATTAAGTGTAAAAAACTAAAAAAATGCAACTTCCTAATTACACACATGCATCCATCTACCTAAGATTTAGGCTGCTCTTAATGTGCAGAAGGCAGGCATTCAAAGAGTTAATGGGTCTGTGTTAATCTTGCTGCTGCTAAATGGAGTTACACGTGTGCAGAAAGGGGAGAACAGATCCCTTACTGTTTTTCATTTTTTGGATGTGGAGAGTTATATTTCATGGGGGATGAAAAACAAATAAATTTTACTTTAGGAACCCTTCTGTTTTACTTGCATTATCACTAGTTTTGGCTGCTTCATAGACTGCAGAAAAAATGATTAAACAGGAGAATATCAAAGACTTTGCTTGAAATGCAAGACAAATAAATATATGACAAGGGCACTTTCATTGTTCTCTAAAATATGAGCTTACATTAGCACTGAGTATGAAATATTTACCTTACATATGCCCCCTCTCCAAGCAGCTTCAGCTACCAGTCCCTGAAATCCCCTCATTCCCATGGCACATGGAGGAGCTCATAGTTTGGTAGAAGCTTACTTTTTTTTTTTTTCCTCTCCCTCCACTCCTCAGAGTCTGCATTATCTGCCACAATTCAGCTTAGAAATTCTTTTCCTGCTATAATTGCTTGACAGTTATAGGCCAACAAGGAACTTTTTTCTCTCTTCTAGCTCTGTATTCAGAACAACAAATTTCCTTTGCATTCACATGTAGGCACATAAGCTGTGCTTTGGAGGATTCACCACTCCAGACCTCTCAATGAGATTCATAACTGCGCTCCTTTCTCTGCCAAGGTGAACTGCCACTTCGTAGAAGAAAGGGCTCCTGCCTCGATTGCTGGTTTTCCTGCTATTGCTGCTCACTTTTTTCTTGACATGCAGCACCTTTTGTCCTCTAAGAAATACCCCTCTCAAGTCATTTTGTACTGTTCACCGAGGGAAGAAGGATCCCTCTTTCTCCCTTTCCATCATTACCTTCCCACAACTAGAAACATTTATATCTGTTTTTTCCATATTTTTAAGACAGGCAGATGAACTCTTAGCACTCTGTTGAAATGTTTTGTAGAGTGAAAAGACCTTTTCTTCTGGGCAAAACATCTGTCAGTATGATACAGTCCCCTCAGTTGCTCCCATCATTCAGACTTGTATTTTACTTTTACTTTTCAATAGCACTGTTTGGTACTGCTTAGTACTATTAACTTTTTGAAGAATAAGGTTTGAAACAAAATATGAATGATAAACACTTCTCCTGGATGAAAGTTCTTGATCCTGGGTGTGACTTCAGGAGTATTGGCAATATTGACTCAGTAGGCAATTCTTGACCAAAGGAAATGGAAGTGAGCAGTGGGCAATCATGCTGCAGCAGAATCCCCTTCGAGTACCCTCTGTGATGCTTCACAGTGTTCACAAAACAAGATGTTATTTTAGATGGATTTTGTAATAATTTACTGCCTGTCTCCTTTCACTGTAAAATAGAATGGAAATGAAAAATAGGGCTTCTTTTTTTCTGGAAGTTTTGTATCAAGTCTCACAGAACTGATAGTTACTTTGCAGCAAATAAAATGCAGAATGAAGTGATGTATAGGATGAACTGGTAGGCTCTCCCATAATTAGATTGTCTAACATTTTGCTTCAAAGAAGATTCCTGTGATTTTTTTTCTGAGAAGCTCAAATTCTTTTTTTTTTTTTTTTTTTCCCGGCAGGCTTTGGAAATTCAGACAGAGAAGCGTCCTTTCTTTATCTCATGAAATTCCATTCAGGTTTGGCTGTGCTGCACATTTTTCAAGATGCATTTTACCTTCTCTTATTTTCCTCAAGGAAATGTGGCAGTCTACAAGAAGTATCTTTAAACAAAACAGACCCAACACCTGCAACTGACATCCCATGAAAACTGCACAAGCTGCAGCAAGAAGACCTAGGAGTTGGAGCTAGACTGAGAATGGAAAGGAGAGGAAGGAGACTTACTCAAATGTCTGTATCTGTGTTACCCAGACCTGTCAGAGACCCAGCTCCCCTTCTGGGGCACAGGACGGGACACAAAAACAAGTTACAAGAGTGGGGAGGCAGGAGCACACAACCAGGGTGCTCTGGTCCTCAACCTCCTCCCTCAGACTCCTAGAACACAGGAGCAGAGCCCACCCTGATTTTGCCAGGGCGGAAGAAAGGGGTAAGGTGAGAAATGTAGAGCCATTCAGCAGCAGCAGCAGCCACCCCATGAGATGGGGCAGTGCACCCCACACTGCCATTAGGATTGGAGGGCTATGGCAAAAGGCATAGGCATATTTAGGCACAAATAAGATGCCGCCGTGCACATCAGGAGGACACGTCGGTGGCATCCCCAGCTGACTGAGGCAAGGGCAGCCACTGACCCAGGTCTGACATCCCTGCTGGCCCCACCAGATCCACCATACTGACAATCCATCGCACCACGCACGACCGCCTCCATATTGCAATAAACAGAAAGGCTTTGGAAGGGAGAAAGTTGCAAAGAACACAGAAGAGTTTGCTACGTGTAAGTGGCAGGGAAGTTTCAGAGAGGGTGGCCCAGGCAGTATAGCCCCTACCATCCTGTCAGTGGAACTCAGTTTTTGCTAATACTTTACATGGGATGCAAATCATTTCTGTGAAAAAACAAGGCAAAGCATTAGCTTATGAACTTACACAGACATGAAAGACTGTTTCGTTACATTTTTTACATAGCAGGCATATGTAAGCAACAGAGATCAAGCAGAAATATTTATTTTATTATCATTATTTTATCTTCATTGGTCTGTGACCCCAGT